AAAAGGAAGTCGAGTGATGTCATCAGTGTGACTTTTATTTCAAAATAAGAGTTTTTGTTACGCAGTAACACCAGTGACACGACTCCTGGGGACAACTTTCATTATGTATTTATATCCTTTATGTTATTTAAATCATATATTCCATAGTCATGTATAGATTATTGTAATTAAAATTGTAGAAAAACGTTTTTCACTTCAAAATATGGCCTCAGCCTTCACACATGACTGTGAGGACGAGCTCTTCTGTGGCGCTCTGAATTCTATGTGATTGATTTAAAAACCAATATTGCTAAATTGAGGCTCAAGAAGGTGTAATTGATAAAATAACTTATTGTTTTATTTTAAAATATAAATAAATTGTAACCATAAGTTGATTTTCAAGTGTAATATATCTGTAAACACTAGGGACACCAAAATGGACGTTTCTGTAGAACGACCCATGATGTTATGAGCTGACAGTGTTCATGGTTGCTTGTAGAACTGTTCCCTTTACTAAAGAACCCTTGAAGAACCATCTTTTTAAGAGTGTAGTTAAAACAGAATACAGTACAATTACGTCCTCTAACTGAAAGTACACTCTGAAGATGGTTCTTCAAGGGTTCGTTAGTAAAGATGATGGTGTGGAACCATGAACGGTCAGAGAACCCTTTGCAGGATTAAAGGGTTCTTTGCATCACGAAAGCGTTCTTAAGAATGTGCTGTAGATGGTTCTATATCAATACTGTTTGAAAAGGACTCTATAGAACACCAAAAACGGTTCTTCTGTTGTTACGATGTCAAGCTTGTAATAGTAGAAGAACTTTTTTTGGTGCTCTATAGAGTTCTTTTCCAAAGTTTTCCAAAGGTTCTGAATAGATCTGAAGAACCTTTAATCATGCAAAGGGTCCTTTGAGTGTTTATGGTTCTGTGCCGGGCATCGTTCGGCGCTGGTTGTTCCTCGTCGGCTCGGTGTGTGTGTGGGTTCTCTGATGGCGGAGCGTTCTGCGCGGTTCCTCTGTGTTTGAGAGGCGGTTACACAGTCGCTGATTACTCTCACTGACAGAACAGCAGCTGTGTGTCTCTGTGTGATGAAGGCAGAACGGCACTCAGATGTCAGTGAACTGTCTCTCTCTCAGAGAGAGAGAACCACCCTGAAATACAGGTGGAGCTTAATTTATTCAATCAGTGCTGCGTTTCTATCATTTACCATCATCAGTTTTCTGATCCGAGGCAGAAATATTCTTAACAAAACACACAAACGTGAACGAAAACGCCGACGTAATGCAAACACACAGCCCTGCTTACGTTACTGAGGTGTAGTGAATAGAGGACAAATCAGAGCTTCTGTAAATGGGATCTGTTGTTATTCCAACAGATGGAGGACAAAACTGACCGTTTGTAAACCAGATCTACCGTTATTCGAGCAGATAGGGGACAAATTAGAGGGTCTGTAAACAGGATCTACTGTAATCTAAACAGAGAGAGGACAAATTGTAACATCTTTGAAGGAGATCTACTGTTATTTCAACAGAAAGAGAACAAATCAGAGCTCCTATAAACGGGTCCTGCTCTTATTCCAGCAGATGGAGGACAAGACTGACCGTGTGTAAACCAGATCTACAGTTATTTGAACATATAGAGGACAAATCAGTGCGTTTATAAACCGAGTCTGCTGTCATTCCAACAGATGGACACATTAAACGTCTGCTAAATGGATCTGTGAAGGGGATCCACTGTTGTTCTAGCACATAAGGACAAATTAGAGAGTCTGAAAACGGGATCTACTGTTATGTGGGCAAATAAGAGTTGTGAAAAGGGATCTGCTGTTGTTCCTACAGATAAGGACAAACCAGAGCATTTGTAGACAGGATCTACTGTTATCCCAGCAAACAGCATCAGTCAGTGTCAGAGCAACTGTAAATGAGGTCTACTGTTATTCCAACAGAGAGAGGACAAATCAGACTGTCTGTAAGGGGGATCTACTCTTATTGCAGCAGATAAGGACAAACTAAACAGGATCTACTGTTATCCCAGCAAACAGCATCAGTAAACATGATCTACAGAGTATCAGAGCATCTGTAAATGAGATCTACTGTTATTCCAACAGAGGACAAATCAAAAGTGTCTATAAAAGGGGTCTGTTGTTATTGCAGGACTTAAGGACATATCAGATCATCTGTAAACCAGATCTACCGTTATTTCAGCAGAGAGAGGACAAATCAGAGCGTCTAGAAGGGGGATCTACTGTTACTGCAGCTGATGAGGACGACCTAAACTGCTGTTATTCCTACAGATAAGAACAGATCAGATTGTCTTTCAACAGGATTTACTGTTATTCTATCAGAAAAGAATCTGTAAACAGGATCTAGTGTTATTCCAGCCAATAAGGACAAATCAGAGCATCTGTAAACAGGATCTAGTGTTATTCCAGCCAATAAGGACAAATCAGAGCATCTGTAAATTCAGTCTATTCATATTCCAACAGATACAGGACGAAGTAAAGCATGTATAAATGGGATCTACTGTTATATTAACAGAGAGAGAGCTAATTTAAACATCTACAGAGGAGATCTGCTGTCATCCCCGTAGATAAGGACAGATCAGAGTGTCTGTAAATGTAATCATGAGACCCTCACAGCTTCTGTAAACAGGATCTACTGTTATTCCAGCAGACGTAGGACAAATTAAAACATATGGCCAAAAGTATACGGACACCTGACCATCACACTTATACGAACTTGATGGACATCCTATTCCTAAACCAGTGCTGAGGGACGTGGTGTGAGACGGAGTGTGTCTGTCTGACACGTTCTCTACACACACTGATGAGCTGATTGTGAGCAGAGACACTGATCTGACGTGTGTGTGGATGCTCTTATGAAACATTCATATCTGCTCCTATTAGTGTGTGTGTGTGTGTTTGGGGGGGGGGTGGTTTAGATGGATGTCTGGGTGGGGGGGGGAGTGTGAAATGGGCTGAAACGTGTGAGTGTGTGAGTGTGTGTGTTTGTGTGTGTGTGTGAGTGAGTGTGTGTGTGTGTGTGAGTGTGTGTGTGTGTGTGTGTGTGTGTGTGTGTGTGCGCTGGAGTGTAAAGTAAATGTGTCAGAAAACAGCAGCTGTCTGAGAAATGAAATCTGACAGCAGCTAAAAGACACACACACACACACACACACACGCGCACACACACACACACAGGGCTGAGGTCTAATAGGCCGGAGCAAACTGAGACATCAGCCAGGTTGAGTCCTTCAGGCTCTCAGTCTGAGCTGATCTGTCTCTGAGTGGACAGTTTAAAGAGCCCAGACCATTATATGTTTCACCTGTTCAGGTAAAGTTCAGGTTAAGATTGACTTCATCATTAATTTTCAGCCTCTCTTTGTTTCTTAGAATTAAATAGGCCTAAATGTTATTAATTGTGCCTTTAAAACTGAGATATGTAAATGACCTCTGTTCTGATTGGCTGGCCTGTATTTTGTCTGGTTCAAAAAGCAGTCCAGCCCTTAAATGCGGACCAGACTCTTTATTTGGGGCTGAAACAGCACAACGTTTCATCGCTTTCCCACGTCTCCCTCTCCAGTAACTCTGGGCTGCAGGTTGAATGGGTGGGGCTAAACTGCTGTAGCTGAATGGGTGGGGCTAAACTGCTGTAGACTGAATGGGTGGGGCTAAACTGCTGTAGACTGAATGGGTGGGGCTAAACTGCTGTAGGCTGAATGGGTGGGGCTAAACTGCTGTAGGCTGAATGGGTGGGGCTAAACTGCTGTAGGCTGAATGGGTGGGGCTAAACTGCGGTAGGCTGAAATTTATTAGTGAAAATATATTAATAGTTGTGACATCACAACCATGATGAATTGAGAACGAGCTGTTTTTGCAATTCAGTTTACATATATGAACTGTATGGTCTACATTCTGAACCTTCAACAATGTTTACAAATGGTTACAGTACAAAAAGCAGAGAAAGTTGGCGGTTTACTGTCCAGTAGGTCGTCATGGTAGCAGCAGGCTGGTGGTGATTTTCATCCAGTTGGATTGTGGCATGTTTGGCGTCTAGTGAAGCAGGCTTGTCCTCACTGTTGACGAGTACAGGCTAATATCAGGGTTTCTTAACCTGTGGTGGTCCGTGGGCCTGAACTCGGGGGAGGCAGTAGTCCATAGTGGTCCGGTAGCGTCACTTCCAGGTCTAAAAACATAAGTGGAAAGAAGATTAACTTAATAATCGAGACAGACAGCAAGCCAGAGGTGAAGTTTCTCAGGGTGTCTCAGCTGCCTTGATCGAGGCAAACCTACCAGACTGCTTCTGTAGTTCACTCCGTTTTGACATCTGTGAATATTATGGCCGTATTCGGGTCTGTAACAGGCAGTTGAGCTGGGGTCCGCTTCCAAACGAACCCTGGCTGCTGGTGGGAACACAGTCTGTGATCAAACGAGGGGATTCATCAACAGAGCTGGCTTTGCTCCTCTAGCAGCGGGTCGGCGCAGTTCTATCGTTTCTGCACCACGAGCTGCAGCAATATAAAATAGTGAAGATCTGTGTTTGATTTTGGCTCACGGATCGGAACGGAATTTTGTGTGTTTAGACCCAAAGTGATAAACCGATGACGAAGAAGCAGATATAAAGTAAGGTTTATTGTTATGGTTGATTGTGGCGACGCTGATCCAGAAGCCCAGTGAGTGGAGTGAGGTTTGGTTTCAAATCAATCACAAATAAATTCGTATTTGTGAACAGGAGGGCTTTGGGGTGGAGAAGGTTGAGTTTGTCAGGATGCTGATTTGAGCTGTATCAGACGCGCTGAGTGTGTGGGCTGTGTGTGTTGTGTGTTGCAGGGGAGTTGGATGTATCTTCATCGAGATGATCCAGGGAGTTGCAGCGTTTCCAGGCACGAAGGACATCCAGGACCAGCTGGAGAGGATATTCCTGGTGAGTGTTTCGCTCTTTCAGTGAGTTTACAGAGAACCTTTATCGCTGAGCAGCTTCTCGTTGCTGTTGTGTTTAATTTTCTGGCTGTATTTTACGTTCAAAGAGCTGAGAGAACTGATCAGCTAACGTAACGTCTCAGGACACGTTTATTAATCAACTGCAGCACCTTGTATCTGTTTACCATCTATCACTGTCATTGATAAGCAAAAGATATATTATATTATAATTTTATCAGCCCACAATTACTTTATTCCATATCAAGCTTTTTTATTTGGTATTTCAAATATGCATAGAAGTAAATGGATGTAAACCAAACTACTGTATCATATATATATTTACAGGAGAAGGAAAAAACATGCTTTACTTTTAATGTAAGTCAATGGAACCAGACGGTTTGCAAGTCATTTTGGGTCGTTTCTTTTGGTCCATTCATCATGAAATTTACACACAATGTAAAGAGAAACAGACATATATATGTATGAGTGTGTGTGTGGGTGTGTGTGTGTGTGTGTGTGTGTGTGTGGTGTGTGTGTGTGTGTGTGTGTGTGTGGGTGGGTGGGTGTGTGTGGGTGGGTGGGTGTGTGTGGGTGTGTGTGTGTGTGTGTGTGTGTGTGTACACTTCTGGGCAAATTCCATGCTGTTGTTGATTTTCTGAGTGTGAAAAAGTAAACATCCTCTACAGAGACACACTTCTGCATAGTTTAATGCACAAATACTGTTTATTTACTGAATGTAACACACTGGAGAAAGAAAACATAAAAAAGTTACGGCACATTTTACAAAAAAACAGCATGAAAAATGAGGGAGTGAGAGAGAGAGAGAGAGAGAGAGAGAGAGAGAGATATGCTGCAGTAATTGAGAAGTGCCATAATCACCCTGGGGTAATTTCCCATAATGCACTGCCTGTGATAGGTGAAGGAGAGACTGACATTCAGACACAACACTAACTCATGTACACTATTACATACAGCGGGGGGGTTAACAACCTCCAGGGAGAGAGAGAGAAGACGAGAAAGGTAATGTGAGAAGAAAGGAAAGGAGAAAGGGAGAGAGAGACAGAGTGAGAGAGAGAGAACCAGCAGAAAGAAGGAGAGGAATGAAAAGTAGAAACATGTAGTAAAGTCAGAGAGAGAGAGAGAGAGAGAGAGAGAGAGAGAGAGTAAGAGAGAGAGAGAGAGAGAGATACAGAGGGTAAGAGAGAGAGAGAGAGAGAGAGAGGGGGTAAGAGAGAGAGTGAGGGTAAGAGAGAGATAGATTGAGGGTAAGAGAGAGAGAGAGCGGGTGAGAGAGAGAGAACCACCAGAAAGAAGGAGAGGAATGAAAAGTAGAAAGGTGTAGTAAGGTCGGTGATCGATTGCCATCTCTGTCTGAAAATCCCCTCACCCCAAAGGAGAGAGAGAGAGAGAGACAGAGAGAGAGAGAGACAGAGAGAGAGAGAGACAGAGAGAGAGAGAGACAGAGAGGATAACGCACAGAGAGAGTCTGTATGATTTTAATCAGGCTGGTTCTGAGTGTTATGTTCTGGTGGAATGGTCTGGTTCTGTAATTACGCTTCCAGCACAGCTCTTCTCTAAACGCGCTGTTTGGACTGTAATGGTCCAGTCAGGCCGCTGTGGTCAGATGTTGTGGTAACGCTGGGAAAGGAGGGAATCTTCTGGAAGGAAAGTTTGAGCAGCTGAGTCAGTAAATCAGCCAGATCAGCACTACTTCTCCACACACAGACTCAATGAGCTAATCACAGGCAGGAGGACTGCTGGGTAATTACAGGTGAAGCTACACTGACCTTAAACAACCCCAGTGTTTGAGTGGAACCCACAGAGGAGAGAGTGGAGCTCCACCTCACGCTCCAGAGTGGACGCGCTCGTTAAGGCCCTGCCGCCTCGTTTACACTTTAGTTGCAATTCCAATTTTAAAGAGCTCAATTTTTAAAAGTGCTGCGTTTTTATTAGAGCTTACGTTAACGACAACATCGTCTTCACAGATTGAACCTAACAGCACGGAGCTCAAGAACTGCCTGTAGATGAGTTTGGCCAATCAGAATCAACCAAATATGCATGTGTTGTGACACCACACACACACACACACCTACACACACACACACACACACACCTACACACACACACACACACACACACACCTACACACACAGATACACACACACACACACACACACACAAACACAAACACACCTACACACACACACACACACACACACACACACCTACACACACACACACACACACCTCCACACACACACACACGCACACACCTACACACACACACACACACACACCTACACACACACACACGCACCTACACACACACACACACACACACAAACACAAACACACCTACACACACACACACACACACACCTACAAACACACCTACACACACACACACACACACACCTACACACACAAACACAAACACACCTACACACACACACACACACCTACACACACAAACACAAACACACCTACACACACACACACACACCTACACACACAGGCACTGAACAAGGCCGCTCTCCACAGTAGAGCCTCATTACCCCCCCAACCCCCCCTCAACTCCAGCTCTGTGTCTGAGATGAGCAGAACAGCTGACCTTCTGCCTGATGTGGCATTTGAAATCGGAAGGTTTCCGTGTGGACAGACGGAGGCTGCTGGTGTTCAGAACGCTGGTGTGTCAGGAGTGTGTGTGAAATACCTATTGAGTTGGGAATGCGAATCGGAATGTTTTGGGATGTTGGAAGTGTGTGCTGGGAATGCACCTGAAAGTGCAGGTTGAGAATGTGCATTTGGAATGTGTCAAGAGTGCACGTTGGGAGTGTGCATTGGGAGTGCACATCGGGAATGTGTGTTGGGAGCACACGTTGGGAATGTGTGCTGGGAGTGCACATTGGGAATGTGTGTTGGGAGTGTGTGTCGGGAATGTGTTTTGGGAGTGCTGGCCAGCAAAGTGTGTTGGGAGTGTGTGTCAGGAATGTGTGTGTTGGAAGCAAACGTTGGGAATATGTGTTAGGATTGCACATTGGGAGTGGGTGTTGGAAGCACACATTGTGAATATGTGTTGGAAGCGCACATTGGGAATGCATTTTAGGATTGCACATTGGGAATGTGTTGGAAGCACATTGGGAATGTGTGTTGGGAGTGCACATTGGGAATGTGTGTTGGAAGCACAGATTAGGAATGTATGTTGGGAGTGCACATTGGGAATGTGTGTTGGAAGCACAGATTAGGAATGTATGTTGGGAGTGCACATTAGGAACGTGTGTTGTGAGCACACGCTGGGAACGTGTGTTGGGAGTGCACATTGGGAACGTGTGTTGGGAGTGCACATTAGGAACGTGTGTTGGGAGTGCACATTGGGAACGTGTGTTGGGAGTGCACATTGGGAATGTGTGTTGGGAGTGCACATTGGGAATGTGTGTTGGAAGCACACATTGGGAATGTGTGTTGGAAGCACACATTGGGAATGTGTGTTGGAAGCACACATTGGCAAAGTGCGTTGAGAGTGCACATTCAGAATGTGTGTTGAGAGTCACATTAGGAATGTGTGTTGGAAACACACTTTGAGAATATGTGAATTGGGAGTGCACATTGGGAACGTGTGTTGGGATTGCACATTGGGAACGTGTGTTGGAATTGCACATTGGGAATGTGTGTTAGGATTGCACATTGGGAATGTGTGTTAGGATTGCACATTGGGAATGCATTTTAGGATTGCACATTGGGAATGTGTTGGAAGCACATTGGGAATGTGTGTTGGGAGTGCACATTGGGAATGTGTGTTGGAAGCACAGATTAGGAATGTATGTTGGGAGTGCACATTGGGAATGTGTGTTGGAAGCACAGATTAGGAATGTATGTTGGGAGTGCACATTAGGAACGTGTGTTGTGAGCACACGCTGGGAACGTGTGTTGGGAGTGCACATTGGGAACGTGTGTTGGGAGTGCACATTAGGAACGTGTGTTGGGAGTGCACATTGGGAATGTGTGTTGGGAGTGCACATTGGGAATGTGCGTTGAGAGTGCACATTCAGAATGTGTGTTGAGAGTCACATTAGGAATGTGTGTTGGAAACACACTTTGAGAATATGTGAATTGGGAGTGCACATTAGGAATGTATGCTGGGAGTACATGTTGGAAATGTGTGTTAGGATTGCACATTGGGAATGTGTGTTAGGATTGCACATTGGGAATGTGTGTTGGAATTGCACATTGGGAATGTGTGTTGGGATTGCACATTGGGAATGTGTGTTGGGATTGCACATTGGGAACGTGTGTTGGGATTGCACATTGGGAATGTGTGTTGGGATTGCACATTGGGAATGTGTGTTGGAATTGCACATTGGGAATGTGTGTTGGGATTGCACATTGGGAATGTGTGTTGGGATTGCACATTGGGAATGTGTGTTAGGATTGCACATTGGGAATGTGTGTTAGGATTGCACATTGGGAATGTGTGTTAGGATTGCACATTGGGAATGTGTGTTGGGATTGCACATTGGGAACGTGTGTTGGAATTGCACATTGGGAACGTGTGTTGGGATTGCACATTTGGAATGTGTGTTAGGATTGCACATTGGGAATGTGTGTTAGGATTGCACATTGGGAATGTGTGTTGGGAGTGCACATTGGGAATGTGTGTTGGGAGTGCAAATTGGGAATGTGTGTTGGGAGTGCACATTGGGAATGTGTGTTAGGATTGCACATTGGGAATGTGTGTTAGGATTGCACATTGAGAATGTGTGTTGGGATTGCACATTGGGAATGTGTGTTGGAATTGCACATTGGGAATGTGTGTTGGGATTGCACATTTAGAATGTGTGTTAGGATTGCACATTGGGAATGTGTGTTAGGATTGCACATTGGGAATGTGTGTTGGGAGTGCAAATTGGGAATGTGTGTTGGGAGTGCAAATTGGGAATGTGTGTCGGGATTGCACATTGGGAATGTGTGTTGGAATTGCACATTGGGAATGTGTGTTGGGATTGC